TACCATGTAGGGCTTTAAAAGTAATGACTAGCACCTTGAAGCGCATCTGGAGTCCAACAGGCAGCCAATGCAGCTCGCAGAGGATAGGTGTAATGGGGGTGTACCGAGGTGCACCCACAATCGCTCGTGCGGCTGCATTCTGGATAAGCTGAAGTCTCCGAACGCTCTTCAAGGGCTGCCCCATGTAGAGCGCATTACAGTAGTAGCATTGCTTGTGGATCTTAAAGTTTCATTTAGAGCCAGAACTAGAAGACCAAGGAGAAAAATCATTCCTTAGGACTCAGAATGCTATGCACTTTCCCAGAGTTTAATTCTGCTGTGGATCATATTGATGATACCTTAGGATCAAGACTCCCTCCATTTAAATTCATTGTCCATAGAAGAGGCCACCAACTGCTCTGATCTCCCCCGTGAAGCAGCCCCACCTTCACTTCTAATGGAGAGAAGTCACTCCACAAATCCACTGAAATCTTTGACCAGAAGAGGGAGAATTTGGTCTAGAATTAAGGCAACTGACAGGCCAACAACCAAATGATCAATCACAAAATGAAATGCAATGATCCACTGCGCATATGGGTTTTGCAGAACAGGGATCTCACACTGTTTCCTGCTCCTCCTTTGCCGCAGAAAGTACTAACTTCCTGAGATAAGCCCCAGATTGAACTAAGCCCCGTAGCTTCTGCATTGTACTTGCCTCTGGATATTATGGTTGATTTCCTGCACTTCATTCATGAGTCGATATTGCACCATGTCTCGGCAAAGCTCTACATTTGGACGGTGAGTCCGGGTCTCCAGGCGAGTTTGGGCCACCTGGGCTGGCCCCTTCTTATCCAGGATAGCTTTCCTCAGAGCATCAATATTTTTGGTCTGAGAGTTGATCTCCTCCATCAGCTTTAAACACACATAAAACGAAGGGAGGGACACATTTCAGCTGTGTTAATACCGTGCAATTGGATCCCTTGAAAGTTTAATGGCGGTCCATGTAGGACCGTGATGGCAAACCTATGGCACGTGTGCCAGAGGTGGCATGCAAGCCATTGCTGTCATGACTGCAGCCATCTTTTGGTGGGGGGCGGATCTTTGGCCTGCCACACTTTCTATTCCACTATGCATTTTCTATTGTGGGAAAATGGGAGGGGGGATTGTAGGAGTTAGATGCTATGTAGCCATAACACAATTCTTTCTAGAAAACCAAGGTCATCCTTTGCCTTTGCACCTCTGCACCTGACTGGAACTGGATGGGTGGAACTACCAGCAAAAGATGGCT